ACGTAGGAGTTGTTTCTCCCTGCCCCTAGTGGCGTGCTCTTGCCTCGTTTCTGATTGTTCCTACAAGCACACTTACAGCAGGTCGTCTGTTTCACTTGTTTTGGTGGTATGTACTTGCCAATAGCAGGTTTAGAAGTAACTGAGTTAGAAGCAACAGATTCAGAGTTCAAGGAGACATTGGTTTGACAGTTAGTAGAATTAACAGAACTAGAATTAATTATGTTCTCCTTGTTTTCTTCTTCCACTACTTTACCTGCACATGAAGTATAATCATAAAAAACGTTCACCTCAACACCCTCAGTTGGCGTAGATTGTTCAGTTTTAACTGAAGCTGGAGCAGGGGGTTGTCCATACTGAGCAAGTATTTCTTCCTCATTGGTCTCAAGAGGTGGGTTATAGTTATCATTGAAAGGAGGTGACACACTGTGATACCCTAAACCCTTAGATTGATTAACTTTAAATTTTAACTGTTTTTCAATCATCGAGGCAACTACCTCACTTGACACATCATATTTTCTGAAATTAAAATCTGCATTTTCAAATTTGTTTTTCAATGTGTCGAGATCGGTAGTTAGACTGACAAGTTGTCCCTTGATAAAATTGTAGTTCTCACACTTGTTGCTGTACTCTTCTTGAAGTTTCTTAAAGTCCTTAGTTTTGGCCTCTAATTGTTCTTTTAGGGGTTTTTGACCTTTCCTTAGAGTATAGCCTTCATATTTAAGGTCCTCATTTTCCCTTTTTAGCAAATCATTTTGTTCACGAAGAAATTTAATCGTAGCTTCACAAGATTGAGAGCATGAAACTTCATTGACCGGAACGTTTGAGGAACTCATTGTTTACCAAAAATTCACTTTGACTTTGAAACCAATAAAGTCAACCGAAAAGAAGTTCACATCCGAGAACACGGTTTACAGTCCAAGGAGAGTTTACGGCTGTACACGAGTTTGCAGCCGAAAACAGTTCACAGTCAAAGCAGTTTACAGTCAAAGAGCAGTTTACAGTCGAAAACGAGGGTTTACAGTCGAAAACAGTTTACAGCCTTAAACAGATGAATAGTTTACAGCCGAAAACTGATGAACAATTTACAACCGAAAACACCCAGAATTTGATGAAAACAGTTGATTTCGAGCAGATCTTCAATCCCTTTGGCCTTGAAATCACGATCAACAGTAGGAACTCAGTAACAAAGCTTGAAAAATCACAAAAATAAAGAATACTCCAACCGAAAACATAACTTGAACAGTTTTGACACTAGTATGGCTTTGATACCAATTGTAAGTCCCCAAATCTGGAACCAACTAGTGATCAAACACAAGAACAAGCAATAATCAATAAGAACAAGAAGGAGTAGAAGCAAGAATGATCCAAATTGCACACGTTTCTATTGAGCCGTAAACGTATGCTACAATGGACACACACACACATACAACCGTCGTCTGCTCTCTCTCTCTCTCTCTCTCTCTCTCTCTCTTTGTCTTTCTGACAAGACTGACACATATATATAGGGAACATGAACCGTAAGTGGTTCACGACCGTAAACAGACTCACAACCGCAAACACTAGTTCAACCGAAAACACCCTGTTTTCGGTTCACCCAACTGCAAACCCTATAAACACCTAAACAAAGACTAACAAGACTCGTACAAATGAATGCCTAGCTCAAACCAACAAAATATGACCTAACAATGTATTAGACATTATTATATGGTATCAATAGGCTCATCACATAGTCCATGAAAATAGGAAAATTTAGACATAAGGAACGTTGAAAATGGAGTTCATATGCAAAAGATACGACTGTTTTAAAAAACGAATAATCGGGTAACAGCTAACCACCTAATAGGTGTCAAAACACGAACTTCAAATGAAAAACGAGACGTCTTAGGAAATGCATTCTCATTACCGGTTAATTTTCCTATGAGTCTCATTTAGTTTATGAATTTATCATGTTCCTAACTTTTTCTACCCGAAAATGCCCCGAGCTGTTGTGGGGAAGGTTGAATGGCTAAGGTTCGCCTTCTTCACCAAGTAAACTTCGGATGATCTGTAGCATCATTTCCGAGTTAGTGATATATTATAAATCAAGTTTTGATGTAGTATTTGATTTAAGAGCTAAATTTTCCGTCTCATGTTGTACCGACTCTTTTATGAAGTGAAAGTTCGCAACTATAAACGGATAATGTTCGGAAATCACTTTCAAACCCTTCGTTAGGATAGCTACGCTATTTCTTCGTGATAAGAAATCGAACCATTTTTATTAGAAAATCATATAGTATTTGATTTTATTAACGAAAATTTCGCCACTTGAAATTTCCAGAAAGCATGTCGCATGAGCTAGATAAGATCAAAAATCTAGCTTTGATTGTGGACTGTTGGATTGGATTCGTCGTGGACCGTCGGATCGAGATTGGAATTAATATATATAGAGGGGAACCCTAACCATTTTCTTTACACCTCTCTCCCACCTTTCTCCCTCTCGATTAGAGTTCTCTCTCTCTCTCTCTCTCCCCCCCCCCCCTTTCCTCGGTTGCCGACCACCGTGAACCACCGTTGGCCAACAATCTCAGTCGCGCCAGGAAATCGAGAATGGCCAGAACAACCGACAGCCACCTCCTTTCTCCGATCCAGCTACCGGAGAGCCTCCCTCCGACAACCATCTATCGACCAACCATCTCCGACGAAGTAAATGACGCCAACAATTGCCATCGGCCGGCTAGTGCCACTATACGCCACCGTCGTCGCCGAAGACTTTTCCGGCCAATTTTTCGAGTGGATTCCGGTTAGGCACTATTCCAGAAAGCATGTCGCATGAAAAATTGTTATTTTTCGAAAAATCGTAATCTCTTCGGTTTATCGCATACGCTTCAACCAAGTGAGTGTCACGGCCCCATTTTAAACCTTTTATTGTTTTCGGGGGGTAATACATGCAATAAACTATATTATTTCTATTAAATCTATAGAAATGTTACTTAAACTAAATCAAAAGTATGTTTAATCAAAGGATATAGTTGGATTGCATTGTAAGAACTTTATCTCAATACCAAATTCAGTAGAAATATTGTTGAACATTGAATTAAGAAATGATTACAGTATTGTGTATTGCTATGAGAATAATAACCAAAAACTTGTTATAAAAGTTAGTGTTATTATTATGTTTCAAATTCAAATTCATGTGAAGCTTTTTTATCAAACTATGCATCCCTATACTTAGAGAGACATCTGGTTTATAACCGTTAATTCATAAGGAGCGGGGGAATTATATATAGATTTATATGGGTTGACACCCCCACCATGGTTGGTAGCTACAATCTGGACGACAGAGTCATACCGATAATAATTGACTTTTACTATTTTGACGCCCTAATGAAGCGTCGGGAGAGACATATCATTCTAAAATAGCTCGGTTATAGGACCTCACAGTGAATATAATATGTATAGAAAACTTGAAATACCTATAACATATAAATAATATAGTAGACTTGAAATACCTATAACATAAGGATTATCTTATTATCAGGAAATTAGGATAATAACGATACATTATAAGATAAGAAACTATCTATCTATCCAAGTAATGTTTTCGGTCTCGAAAAGTACTTATCAACCCTAATATAACTATACTTTAGTGAAAAAAAGTATATTTTGGTTCAACTATTACAAACATGTGAACTCACCAACTTTTTAGTTGACACTTTTTCAAAACGCATGTATTCTCAGGAAATTAGACCGTTGGAAGAAACATTACAAGGATGATCATGGGATTGCAGTCGTCTTTTGAATTTCAGTATTTCTTTTTGTTACCTATTGTTAAGGCTTGTTTTGTACCTTTCAATTCCTTGTACCCTAGACTAAGGGAGATTGTAATCTACTCTTTCAATGAATAAAAGTATTTATTCTACTACCGTATTGTTGTATGTTTAATGTATGTTTATTACTGTGATCCATGATGTTGTCTTACTCCCCGAAGTTTCTGTCGCTAGCTAGGGGTGTGACACTTGCTTTTTGAGAGATCGAACTCATGATTGGTAGGAGGAGGTTTACCATGCTCTGGGAGTTGCCATCGAGGCTATGAGTTAGCCTGATTTTGTTATAAGATTCATATCGGAGTTTGCACCAAACGCTCCGTGTCAAACACGCCCTTATAAAAAAGTTTTGTGTTGAATTTGATTAAAAAGAAAGGTTAACGGTTATAAGTTTAACCAAGTTTTACAATTGTTTATATTTAGTCACTAAACATTTGATACCGACAACATCCACTATACCGATAATATTGATATTTTTTTTTAACAAATAAACAAGTTGAATGAGAGATCACATACAAAAAAAAAACTAATTAATTAATTAATTAATGGTTAAATATATACAATTATACAATTATTACCTTTCGAGATATTATTCCAACTAGGAAAAGGCCCGTGCGTTGCACGGGTGAAAGTTTAGTGGCAAAAATATAAATAAGTAAAAATAAAGTGCCAAAATTATAAAGAGGAAAAGTTTGTTGAAACTTTAGTGGCAAAATTAGTAAAAATAAAGTACCAAAACTATAAAGAGGAAATGTTTGTTGAAACTTTAGTGACAAAATTATAAAAAATTAAAAATAAAGTGGTAAAATTATAAAAGAATAAAAAAAAAGGGGTTTTAAAGAAGTAAAAGTGAAAGTTTAGTGGGAAAAATATGAAAAATTAAAAATAAAGTGGCAGAATTATAAAAAAGAAAAATTTATTGAAACTTTAATGGCAAAATTAAGAAAAAGTAAAAATATAGTGTTAAAGTTATAAGCATGAAAAGTTTCCTGAAACTTTCCATGCAATTTAATATATATATATATATATATATATATATATATATATATATATATATATATATATAATTGATCGTATAAAATGATAAAATGATAAAATATAAACTACGAATCTGATAAAATCTGTTTTATAAAACTAGTTATGACTATCCCTTTTTAAATTTAACCAAAAAAGGAACTTGACCTAGCTACCAAGTCTAATTGATTCATTCTAAAAACTAGACCAACTCTAATTGATTCATTCTTTGAAACACGCCATAAAAAGCTGGAAGTGGGTTGGTTTCTTCCTATTTCTTTTGGACGGAATGTGAGGAAAAAGGAAAACACAACGAAATCATCAACAACAAGGACGTGTGTTCATTCATCCCTATTTCAACACTTCACAGATTTTGGGATTTTCCATCATTTTCTGATTTCAAAAATCTCACCAATCATCAACAATGAAGTTCGGGAAAGAATTTGCTTCACAGATGATTCCAGAATGGCGAGAAGCATACATGAACTACAGCTACCTCAAAACTCTCCTAAAAGAGATCTTAATTTTCCGGCAGCAGCAGATCAGGTATCCTTCGCCAGCAAAGGCGCCGGTGAAGGCGACGTCGTTGAAGAGAAAGGTGTCGCTTTTCAGAGCCTTCAGCGGATTAACTAGTCGTTATGGTAACACTAGTCCTCGAAAAGACGAAGAAGATGAAGTGATTCTAGTGAGTGCAATGCAAGTAGCAGATGAAGAACAAGGGGAAGAGTTCCGGAGTTACCAGACTACTTTTCTCCGGTCGGCGGAGGAAGGCGGCGAGTTTGAGCTGGTGTTTTTCCGACAACTTGATCTCGAATTCAATAAAGTGATTCAGTTTTATCGAGGGAAAGTCGAAGAGGTCGTGAAACAAGCTGAAGAGTTGAATATACAAATGGATGCTCTCATTGCTCTTCGAATCAAAGTCAATGATCCTCACGCCATCCCCCCCTTCATCAATGAAAAAACTACAGGTAGCTACCCTTTTTTCACCAATTTACGGAGGGTAAAATAGTAAATTTGTAAAGCTTCAATAACATTCGATGATTTTTTAAGGTGCGTATCCATTGGAGGTGATTCAAGAGATCAGCACTAGTGGTGATGGGAATGAAGAAGAAGAAGAGGAAAATAATAGATTGGATGATCGAAAGGGATACAAGATGGCTTCTTTGGAGGTTTTGAATCACATAAAAATCAACGCCACCGCAGAAACGCCGCGATCCACCGTGAGAAGTGTCTTTCACTTTGGGAGATCGGAGTTGCATTACAACAAAAAGGAACTTAAAGATGCACAAGAGAAGTTGAAGCTGGCTTTTATTGAGTTCCATGAAAAGCTTCGGTTTTTGAAGAGCTATTCGTAAGCACTAAGCACTTTAATTTTACTCAAAAATTGAATATACAATCAATCGAAATAGAACTGAATTTTGATCTTGCTTTATAAACCAGCTTCCTGAATCAATTAGCATTCTCCAAGATAATGAAGAAGTATGATAAGGTTAGCGATTCTTTCTCTTTATTAGGCTGATTTCAAGGAGGTTATTTACGTCTTTTTCACTAGATGAACTATAATACAAGATTATCATAATATCATGTTGGGTTAACAAATGTTGACATAAATTATTGGTGCAGATTACATCAAGAAACGCATCGGATGCTTATTTAAAGATGGTTGATGAATCTTATTTAGGCCAATCTGATGAGGTATATATATGATGCTATTACGATGTTTAAAAAATATTAAGTATTTTTTTTCCAATATTTAACTGAAAATCACTTCAGGTTGTTAAGCTGATAGAGAGAGTGGAAGCCGCTTTCATAAAGCATTTTTGTAACGGGAATCGACATCAAGGAATGGACACATTAAGGCCCAAAGCCAAAAGAGAGAGGCATCGGATCACATTTTTTGTCGGTTAGTTACACAGGCTGGACTGTGTACTGTGTCTGACATGCATTGGACTAGAACTGAGACTGATGTCAACAAGACAAAACTTGCATTTTTTTTTTGTCCCACTCAAACAGGTGGGACAAGACTCGCTATCGATCTCTCGTCTATGAAAAGACATGAATGCCCTCTTCATCCTTAAAAACTAGCCCTAGAAAGCTTTCTAGGGCTATTTTCAATGCTGCGGATGAGGAGGGCATACATGTCTTTTCATAGACGAGAGATCAATAGCGAGTCTTGTCCCACCTATTTGAGTGAGACAAAAAAAAATGCAAGTTTTGTCTTACTGACATCAGTTCCAGTCTCAGTCCAGTCCAATGCATGCTAAACGCAATACATTTCATTGTCATATGTAAAATTAATGATTTTTTCATAACATCTCATCTGTATATATTTTTCGTGTAGGTTGTTTTTTTGGATGCTCATTAGCGCTTATTGTTGCAATCATTGTGCTTGTACATGCTAGAAATCTTCTTCAGCATAGAAGTCGAACTGCTTACATGAATACCATTTTTCCACTATACAGTTTGTTTGGATTTCTAGTTTTACATATATTGATGTATGCTGCAAATGTATATTATTGGACTCGTTTTCGAGTAAATTACTCCTTCATATTCGGATTTAAGCAAGGGACAGAATTGGGATTTAAAGAAGTTCTGCTCCTAGGTTCTGGTCTATCAGTAGTCACTCTTGCTGGAATATTATCAAATCTTGAAATGGATTTGGATGACAGAACCCAAAGTTACAAAGCTCTCACTGAATTACTTCCTCTTGGTTTAGTCATTGTGAGCAATTCCTCTTTTTCCCTACTAATCTCTTAAGTAATTCCATTTTAGTTTCAATCTCATTGTAAACGTTTTTTTTTTTTTTTTTGCAGGTTTTCCTTTTGATAACAATCTGTCCATTTAATATCTTTTATCGTGCAAATCGTTTCTTCCTTTTAGTCTGTTTATGGCACTGCATATGTGCTCCTTTTTATCTGGTCACTCTCCCTGATTTCTTCTTGGCTGATCAATTTACAAGTCAGGTAAGACTAAGAATTAATAAAGAATTAGGATTTTTAATAATATTAGACAATCAAGGAACTAAAATTAATTGGATTTTTTGGTTTTTTTTTTTTGGATTCAGGTTCAACTATTGAGGAGTTTGCAGTTCTATGTATGCTACTATGGTTGGGGAGATTACAAAAAGAGGGATGCAACTACTTGCACTAAAAGCGATATTTATGATACTATCTATATAGTTGTTGCTGTTGTCCCATATTGGATTCGTGTCCTACAGGTATATGGTCTATTCGTGCATTGTCAACTTGTACACTCCTAAATGTTGTTAATTTTAACTATATTGTCTGTATGTATGTATGTATGACTGTGTAGTGTCTTAGACGATTGTGTGAAGGGAAAGATTCGACACAAGCTTTGAATGCATTCAAATACTTCTCGATCATTGTAGCTGTTGTTGCAAGGACAATTCAAACTCAAATGCTAACAAGGATAAATCAAGCTGAAATACCACAATTGGATGGAAAATATATGACGATAAAATATATTGCTCTAGCTACCTCGATATTTGCAACGATTTTTGCTACATATTGGGATCTGGTGATGGATTGGGGTTTGCTATGTAGGTATTCTGAGAATCCATGGTTAAGAGACAAACTTATTTTGCCTAAAAAATCTATCTACTTCATAGCAATGGTAATTACCAAATCCCCAATTTTAAGATGTAATTATCGTTTAAGAAAAAACTGTTAGATATCTTAATAAATCTAATTTTGCAGGTATTGAATGTGTTGTTGAGACTTGCGTGGATGCAAACTGTACTAGGGTTCCATGAAGGTCGTTTCCTCCATAGAAATGCATTAGTTGCAATAGTTGCAAGTTTGGAGATCATTCGTCGTGGTTTATGGAATTTTTTCAGGTCTTATGATTTTTCAATACATTAAAATTAAAATCAGGAAAAACACAATCTAACATTGTATTTGTATTTGATTTAGGTTGGAGAATGAGCATTTGAACAATGTTGGGAAATTCCGAGCTGTCAAATCAGTGCCACTACCTTTTAGCCATGAGGACAGACAGAAGGATTTATAATTCGTTTTTGAAATATGAATAGAAAGTTGTAAAGAATTTACAAATTTTGTTTCTACGTGCATATATATAAATTACACATTGTGTTTCGATATAGTATCCTTTTATAAACCCTACATAATAGGAATTCTTAAATGAACACCGCTGAATATACTTGTGTAAATTTGAATTATTAAACGAAGACAGCTGAGTATACTTGTGTAAATTTTTTATTTCTAGTTTGAAACTCGACAACTTAATAATTATAAGTCATAACAACCTTTTATGTGTATTCTAGAAATGCTTAAATACAAAACGAAATGCAAGATATTAATCATTTTACGAGTCTATATGACACTATTTTAAAAACCAGTTTTTGAAATAAACTGTCCAGTTTAATCTGCTCTAAAAATTGGTCTAAAACCGGTTATAGCTGAACCATTCATTTACTCGGGTTCTGGTTCGAACCGATTTTAAAACATTGATATTACGATGGAGTATATTTTTAACCATTTAATATATAAAAAAATATCATTTATATTAGACTAAATTACAGAAATGGTTTATGTGGTTGTTGATCCTCCTACGAATTTGACTATCAACATACACCACTCATAGGTGTTCGTCTGAGAAGCATTGTATTGAAGGATCATGCTTTCAACAATGGGGGTATGATAAGTTTGTATATAGAGCATAGGAGGGAAGAAGTTATTGAATGGGTTCCACGAGTAATGGATGTTGTAGATGTCCTTAAAGTTAGTGTAACAACAGAAGAAGATGGAGCAAAATATATGACATTGGTGGAAGTGGAGGTGGAAGAGAGTGAAGCCAAGGTCAATGTTGTGGAAGAGGTGCAAATTCAAGAAAAGGTAAGAGAAAAGGTAGAGGCGTATTTGAAGGTTGGGAAATGTTTAATTTACTTAGTTTTGAGATGAAAATGGAATCCTCTTGACTTAATCCATTAATTTGATACTGCCAAAAAAGCTATAGTTTTGTATATAATAACTTTTGCTTAGTCTTTATTGTAATAGCAATTAATTTACTTAGTTTTGAGATGAAAATGGAATCCTTTCGACTTAATCCATTAATTTGATACTGCCAAAAAAACTATAGTTTTGTATATAATAATTTTTGCTTAGTCTTTATTGTAATAGCAATTAATTTACTTAGTTTTGAAATGAAAATGGCATCCTTTCGACTTAATCCATTAATTTGATACTGCCAAAAAAGCTATAGTTTTGTATATAATAGGGTAAATTACACAGATGGTCCCTGTGATTTAGGGTAATCTGCGTGTTTGGTCCCTAACAATTTTTTTTAACTCGGACCGTCCCTACTTTATATTTTTGTTGCACGCTTGGTCCCTATCTGTCCTAAAAAGACTATTTTGTCCTTATAAGGATTTTTTAGTTTTTACATTTATTAAAAAAATAATAATTAAATTTATGGTCCCATCCTATTTACACATTCACCAAGGGGTGAGCATGATGCGGTTCGGTGCGGTTTTTGGCCAAAACTGAACTGAAAACCGCAACTTCGGTTTTTTGAAATTTAGAAACCACACCGTTCGGTTTTTATGCGGTTCGGTTTTTGCGGTTTTTTATTGCGGTTTTTTATTGCGGTTTTTTGCGGTTCGGTTTTTTTGCGGTTTTTTTGTTAGTTTTTTTTTTGTTTTCATTTTGCCTTTTTACTAAAACTCAAGTAACTCGGCGAGTTACTTTGACTTAGATGATGAGTGCTAATCATCTTTTGGAGATGAACCGATACCACCACCTCTTAGTTTGAAATCAAATTACATAACCACTCATCCAACATGTTTCTAATGCTTGAACATAATACGAGTTTAATATAATATTTGTTTCACATGTACATGCAATAATATCAATTAATATATTCATAAAAATGATACTATCATCACTAGTACTCTTCATATTTAAATGCTAAAAAATATCATAAACATTATTTGTTATTGTAAATATCACTGACTGTATGCTTAAAAATATACAATCATCATCCGATAGATAAGATAGATATTTATATTTATAGAAATTTTAATTGTCATAAGTTCTTGGTTCTTACAAATATCAATACTTAATATATATATATATATATATATATATATATATATATATATATATATATATATATATATATATATATATATATGCGGGGTGGTTCGGTTTTTTGCGGTTTTTGCGAGACTAGAAACCGCACCGCACCGAGTATTTTCGGTTTTTGCAAAACTAATAACCGCACCATCGGTTTTCATTTCGGTTTCGGTTTTTCGGTTTCGGTTTATGTGGTTTTTTCGGTTTTTTTGGTTTGCGGTTTGGTTTTTGCTCACCCCTACATTCACCTCGTGCCTATACCCCTTGTGAAAAACCCAATCCTACGTCTCACGAGATCTTCCTCATCTTCTTTTCTTCTCCGCCGGTAACTCTTCACCACCATAATACTCCCGTCATCGGTAAATTGATCCCCACCCAATCTCTTTCCTGCTCTAACATCGACATCCTCATATCACATTCTTCTTTCCCCGGCAATCCTCCGCCTCTGACGATTCATGGTATGTAGAGCCAAAGAAAACAGAGATGATTGTTCCAGTGGAACAACAACTGTTGTCTCTCCAAAATCAAATCATTAAAGGATTCAAATTACTAGTTTCAAGTGAGTAAACATTTTTAACCCATAACCACTGATTAGATCATTAAAAGATTTAATTTACAGACCTCCAAATTTTAAAAAACAAAGATTTAAAGGACTCAATTTGCTAATTTGAAGACGCGGTTTATGCACAGAGATAAGTTACAAGTGATAACTATGTTGGCAATTTTGGGCATCAGGAAACATCTCTTTTAAGCATTTCATCAAACACCTCTTGTGCAACTCAAGTGGACTCCATTTTTTCAGAACCAATCACAAAGTTATATCCAGATTATAGGGGGTGTTTGGCTTAGCTTTTCACAGCCCAAAAGTCCTTTTTGGAAAAGTTACAAAAAGTCAGGTTTTCCTGACTTTTCCAAAAAGTTCCTTTTCCTTCTATCAAAACTCCAAAAATAGCTTTTAAAACTAGTTTTGCCAAACATCTTTTGCTTTTTTTCTTTTCCAAAAAGGACTTTTGGCTGTGAAAAGCTAAGCCAAACACCCCCATAGTATCCTATATAATAAATACAACATCACACGTCATGTACAGTTAATACAAACACAACTCACACAGAAGAAAGGATTGGAATTTGTTTTTTTATTCATATGATGTTACCTGGAAAGAAGTTTCACAGATGACACCCTCATTTCCGATTATAAATGTAGCTCTGTGGACTCCATTGTTTCCGGCGATGGTTGGATCGACCGGCATCACCGGTACTTCACGAGGTTGGAGGGCTGTAGGTGCGTTAGAAGGATGTGGAGTAGATAGGTGGCGGTGGCTGGTTGTCGTTGAAGTTTTCCGGCAAGAGAAGACGGATGCAGAATCAACGATTGTATCTCCGGCAAGGTGTGAGGTTGGTTGTCGGTGGAGTCGGCGTTAGAGAGAAAAGATGCAGGGATGAAGAATTGAAGATGGGTGCTTTAGGTTTAAGTCTTTTTTTTCTTTTTGTAATTTGTTTTAATGTATTTATGTTATTTATATAATAAAACAAATATATTAGAAAACTTAGAAAAATTAGAAAAAAATTTATTAAGGGCAGTATAGTCGTTTTATCTCGGATAAGGACTAAACGCGTAACAAAAATATATTTTAAGGACCATCCGAATTAAAAAAAGTTGTTAGGGACCAAACACGCAGATTACCCTAAACCACAGGGACCATCCGTGTAATTTACCCTATATAATAACTTTTGCTTAGTCTTTATTGTAATAGCAAATTAGCAAGTTTACTTGCCTTTATTCGTGTTTTGAAATACAAACATGTGTTTATTTGTCACTATTTTTGTTTGGCAACTGGCTAGTGAATGAAAGTAGGGTGTTTTGTTAGTTTTTATTTTCTTAATCAAGCATTATACCATGAAAGTAGAATGGTATATATCTTACTCTATTTCTTCATGGAACTACAGTGTAAGGCTCCCTTTTTCGTTAGATGGTTTTTTAGGTTATAATTGCCCAAGGAAAAATCAAAGTTTTTGTTGCAATTGTAAATGTTTTTTTTCCTAATGCAATTTACTTATTACTTTCATTCCTTTTTTAAAACTAAATAAATGGGATAATATGCAGAAAGTTGCATTGACAAGATTTATATGTGCAATGATACCATCAACAATTTATAAAACAATTTAAATACTCTCTATTTTGCAAGGAGAGGTTATCTTAAGTTTGTTTCTTGGTCAAGAGAAGAGAGGTCTGACCGAAGAAAATATAATAAGGAAAGAGAAAGAGGTGAAATAAAATAGCAGATTTCGTTAAGAGATGATAGAAATGACTTTTATGCCCTCATGTGTGAGGCTCGTGTTCATGGTAAAGCCTGAAAAATAACTGAAATTGACGCACGATGTTCGATGGCGAGAAAAAAATAAAAAGCTGCTTGGAGTGCAATTTTGGAACAAACTTAAGGACCATTTCTGTAAAATTTAGTCATTTTATTATTTTATACTATAACATTTAACCTTTTTGATGTGACAGTTTAGAGTTTTAAACCATTTTTTTGTGGTTAAGCCTTCCAAAAAAACAATCATTAAACTTTTATGTTTTAATATATATTAATCAATAACATATTTAGATTACACAATAATACTGACTTCATTTTCATGCAACTGTTATTGAAGTAAATAAATTAGAAGGTATTTTTGGGTGTATGTTTGTTTTTGTTTATGCAATAAGGTTTTACTTTTTTATAAATTTATTTAATAAAGTGATTTCTAAAAGAAATATGCAACAATGTTTTATTCTAGAACCAAAAAATAGGCAACATTGTGACCGAACCCATTAATCTCATTGCATGACACCGATTAAATACTTATTTCTACATCTATTTTCATTCTTTTACCAATTTAATCTATTTTCATTCTTTTACCAATTTAAGCAACATCGTTTCCCCTTTCGCTTATTTATAGAACAAAGTATAACTTTATTTGCCAATACTTGTAGCTATCACAAACTACATAATCAAATTTCAATCGCCTAAAATAATACATCGCATTTTTTGGTTCTAAAATAGAACATAGTTATATATATATATATATATATATATATATATATATATATATATATATATAT